CGGCCCGCAGGAGGGCGGGTCGGGGGCCTCTGCCCTGGGAGCGCCCAGCGGGCCCAGCCGCCACCTCCCCGCGACCTCCCTCCCAGGAGGGCGGCCCTCTCCGTCTCAGGCCCCGCCCGCCCCAGCTCTGACCTGGTACACGGGGTCCGTGTGGGAGTCCTCGGTCAGACCCGTGCGCCAGAGCAGCGGGTCCTCAGCGCGGCTCAGGTCCCACACCAGCACCTCGCCACTGTACAGCCCTCCTGGGGACGGGCCAGCGAGTCAGCTCGGCCCAGCAAGCCCTCCCACCCGCAGAGCCGCCCGAGTCCGGCCCCTGGGCCCTCAGTCCCACCAGCCGCGCCCCACGCCACGGTCTCCCTTGACAGCCCCCCGGGCGCCCCCTCCTCAGGCCTCTGCACACCCGCCGGCCCCTTGCGGCCCGCCCTGCCTCTTCACCAGCACGAGCTCCCCGCCTTCACCCAGCTCCAGGCTGCGCCCAGGCCCGGCGCTGCTCACCTGCGACGTGGGAGGGCTGCGTGGGGTGGAAGGCCAGGCACAGCACGGCGCTGGGCACCTCCAGCACCGCCGACGGCTGCCGGGGGTTCAGGTCTCGCCGGTCCAGGTTCCAGGCGCACACAAAGGCCTTGAGTGTGCTCCAGTCCCCGTCGTCCAGCCTGCGCATTGGCACCTGAGCCGGCTCTGCCCGGCGGGCCGGTCACCTGCCCCTTCCCCGCCAGTCCCCATTTGCCTGTGACTTCGTCACACCCAGATGCTGCACTCGGGTCAGAGCGGTGCAGCTCTTCCACAGCACCTCCAGGGCGTGATGCTCTAGGGGGGGAAGGTCCCTAGCTGCCTAGGTAAACGCAATGGCAGGTGGGAAGCCCGGTGGCCAGTGCTGGCAGGTGGATGAGGTCCCATCCACTCTCTCTCTCCTGTCTCTTCCCACTGACTCAACCCTGCCCCGGACAGCCAAGCCACAGGGGCCAAGCCTTCCCCACAAAGCTGGAAGACCGAGGCCCTGAGGTCACCCACGGCCCCCATTTGCCCAGTGCCACTCACCGGCCATAGGCACAGGCCACCACAGAGCCGGTGGAGTTCCAGGACACGCTGGTCACATGCAGACCCTGCCCCTGGGCTGGAGGGTAGCCCAGGGTGTGCAGACAGGACACCTGCAGAGACAGGCCATCTCAGCCCTCAGCCCCAAAGCCATGGGCAGGTGTCCTCAGGACACCTACAAAAGCCACACCCAGGCCAGGTGCCCTATGGCCAAGAAGCCACCCAAGGCCACTGCTCAGACCTCGAGGAAAACATGGAGCCTTCATCCTAACATCTCCCCACAGGATGGTTGCAGAAATCCAGAGGGCCAGGCCTCTCCCAGAGCTGTGAGGCTCTCCCAGCCATCCACAGTCCCAAGGTCTCAGTGGCTACGGGGAAGGAGGGGCGCTCAGCATCACCACATGAGACTGGAGGTGGGTGAACAGGCCGTTCAATATCCCATTGCACCACACACACACGTTTAAATTCTGGCATCTCTCGGCCCATAGCCAGCAAGAGCAGCATGAGGAGGGGTGAGGACCGGCCAGGGCTGGCACGTGATCCTGAGAGATGGTGTGCACAGTGCCCTTGGGAAGCCACTAGCATGAACTGAACAACCTCTGTGGCAAACAGGCCTGCTGGGAACCACGGGCCCGCAGCTCCACTCCTGAGTGTAGACCCAAGGGAAACACAACATGAGTCCACACGGCAGTACTCAGCCAAGTACAGGAAACGGCCCATCTGTCCATGAGCCAACAAATGGATACATAGTGTGGCCCATCCACCAGTGGACTAAAGAGCAATGAGCCCTGCTCCAGGCGATGACATGAACAAGCCTGGAAACATCACGCTAAGTGTCAGAGGCCAGATCCAAAGGCCACATACCGCACCTTCCACGTGTATGACATGTCCAGAATCAGCATGGGGTGGGGGCTGCCCAGCTCTGTGGACACTCACTGCAGGCGCTGCACTGGAAGTGGGCAAGGCGCACAATATGGGAAAGATGTCTCAACAGAGCAGTCACTAAAAGCTGTGCATGGGGTAGAAGGTGGAAGGAAGCCTTTAGGGGCCTGGTAATATTCAGGACCTTGGCCGGGCATGGTGGCTCAGGCCTGTAAGCCCAGCACTTTGGGAGGCCGAACCACACCTGGCTAAGTTTTTGACTTATTGTAGAGATGACGTCTCACCAGGAGTTCAAGACCAGTCTGGGCAACATAGTGAGACCTTGTCTCTAAAAAACTCAGCCAGGCATGGTGGCATGTACCTGTATTCCCAGCTACTTGGGAAGCTGAGGTGGAAGGATCACCTGAACTCGGCAGGTCAAGGCTGCAATGGCCATGAACATGCCACTGCTCTGCAGTCTGGCTGACAGAATGAGACTCCTACTCAAGAAAAAAAAAAGCAAACTATATACATTAAGTTATTTATCATGGTATTATCTACCTTTGCAAAGATACAACTCAAAAACCTAAAGATGGTGCCATGAAGGCCCAAGGGCATGCTGGGCACCTTCACTGTGGGGGTCTGCCTTTGCCAAGACCCAGGACAGCACAAAGGTGGATTTGGTACATGTGAAGTACATCTCATTAGGCCCAACCAAGACCAAAAGCCTTTGGGATGAAATGTGGCGTGGTACCTAAAAGGATGCACGTGATGTCCACGTAGCCACCTGACAACACAAAACGACTCTCCTCCTGACCAGATGAGACCCTAAGACTGCCCACAGCGACCCCTGGCTCTGTAAGCCCCATATGCAGGAAAATGACCGGGATGAGGGATACAGCAAGGGAGCGCAGGGTTCTGGGAGGAGACCTGTGGTGATTCCATCCTGGTCTCTAATTCCTGTGCTCCGTAACATCAGCCCATTTTCAGGATTCTGAAACTACATTTTTGTGTGTGTGTGTTTTTTTTGCGTTGGAGTCTCCGTTATCCGGGCTGGAGGGTAGTGGCAGGCTCATGGCCACTGCAGCCTCAACCTGCTAGGCTCAGGCAATCCTCCCGCCTCAGCCCTCCAAGTAGCTGGATTGACAGGCATGTGCTACCACACCTGGCTAAATTTTTGGTGAGAGATGAGGTCTCACCAACTTGCCCAGACTGGTCTTGAAGCCCTGGGCTCAGTCAATCCTCTCACCTCCACCTCCCAAACTGCTGGGATTACAGGCGTGAGCCACCACGTCTGGCCTGAAACGACAGTTTTTTAAATTAAGAGGACCATCTGCATCTTTCTCAGGTTTCTACACTAGGGCCAAAAACAGCAGTGAGACATCGAGGCCACCACTTTGATAGCAGGAGTGAGAAAGAAACATAAACACCAGTAAGTCCACTGTGGGGCTAGAAACAAGAATCAGGCTGGAGAGAAACAAAGCCAGAGAGCAAAAGACACCTGCCACTGCCACATCACAGCCAAACAGGAGCAACCCCTCCCCCTAACACCGGGACCTGGCTCAGAGACTTGGACCACCAGCTACCGCACCCCACATGGCTGTTCGCGGGGCGGGACCCAGCCTCGCACCTTGCCGCGTGCCCCTGGAGGACCCGTTCCTACAAGCACAGGTGCGGCCTGGAACTGCACTGAGGAGACGCCCGGAAAGGATGGTGTCTCACAGTGGGACAGCATTACTGGAGCTGCCAGGAAAGCTTTGTTTCAGATGTTTTTAATGACATCAGAAATAGCAGTAATGCTGTGTGCCAGTCTAGCACAGCAAAAACTCCAGTGTCAGCTCCCACCAGCTACATATGATATGTATTTCTGTAATGGCTGTATGGATCATAATAAATATGTATTGCTTTTATAATCAGGAAAGAATCGATATTTTTTAAGAGGGGGCATCCTAATGCCAGGCGTGGTGGCTCATACCTGTAATCCTAGCACTTTGGGAAGCAGAGGTGAGAGGACTGCCTGAGCCCACTGACCTCATGTCTACAATAAATCAAAAAATCAGCTGGGCATGGTGGCACATGCCTGTAGTTCCACCTACTTGGAAGGATGAGGCAGAAGGATTGCCTGAGCCCAGCAGGTCGAGGCCGTGGTGGCTATGAGGGTACCACTGCACTCCAGCCTGGACAGCAGAGTGAGACTCAAAAAAAATAACCAACGTTAACAATGAAGAACCAACATTTGCATTCACTTCCGAGGGCAGCTGTGACACGAGCAGTGAGGACAGAGCCGCACCTGTGGAGATCTCGTGTCCGAGACATTCACTCCTGGCACCTGCCTGTCAGGACACAATGACCCCAGACCCTGGTGTGGCCAGGCAACTGTTTTTCAGAGGGATTTTGATGATGATTTCTCTCAAGTAAATCATCTCTTGCCCACCAAACTCTCTGGTGGGAATAGGACAGCCGCATAACACTGGAAACAGGCAGATGGGAAGGCACAGGAGGGGGAAGGACAAGAGAAGGACTTATGACTTCTTTTTTATTTTGTGTAGAGACATGCTATTGCTCTTTTGCCCAAGCTGGAGTACAGTGGTGCAAACAGAGCTTACTGCAGCCTCAAACTCCTAGCCTCGAGCAATTCTCCTGCCTCAGCCTCCCAAGCAGCCAGAACTACAGGCACACACCACCATGCTGAGCAATAGTTTCTGATTTCTGAATACATAATTGCTTCATCTCAGTTTCTAAAGGAAGATAATATTGTATGAAAAATAATGATAGAGTTTATGCCAAGAAGCCAAAAGGCATGCTGGGTACGGTGGTACACATCTGCAGTCCCAGCTAGTCGGGAAGCTGAGGCAGGCAGGAGGATCGCTTGAGCCCAGGAGCTCAAGCCTGCCTGGGCAACACAGCGAGACTCCATCTCCTAAAAAAAAAAAAGGCCAGGTGTGGTGGCTCACATTGGGGGGCAGAGGCAAGAGGACTGACTGAGCCCAAGGGGTTCCAGACCAGCCTGGGCAACATGGCGAGACCTCATCTCTACACTAAATCAAAAAATTAGCCAGTCATAACGCACGTCTGTAGTTGTAACCACTTGGAAGGCTGAGGCAGAAGGGTCGCCTGAGCCCAGCAGGTGGAGCCTGCGGTGACCATGAGTGTGCCGCTGCCCTCCAGCCTGGGCGACAGAGTAAGACTCCGACTCAAAAACCAAAAAGCGGAGGGAGGGGGGGGATGGGATTAACAGTAGCAAATATCTGTCTGGGGAAGGGGAAACATCTCTTATCAACAGGGTGCCTGAATGAAACGTAATTGTACACCTAACCCTTAACTGTACCCCACAAAACCATAATAAAAAATATTGATTTAAGAGAAAGAAAAAAGAAAAAAGGCAACACATAAATAGTTTGCAAATGAAGAAATAAAATTTCCATCATTCATGGATAAAAAAAAAAACAAGAAAGAAAATGACAAAACTCAAGGCAAAGACTCAGCAGTCTGGGCTGCTTGGTGAGCAGTTGCCCAAGGGCAACACACCAGGGAGGAGGTGGCTTTAGGCCCAGTGTGGAGCAGAAACCACAAGCCCCTCACTCATATAAAGGCTCCCCAGCCTCAAAGGCTGGGTGGCTTGTCCAGTGGGACCTCTGAGTGTCCAGGGTGATGGCTCTGAACTGTGTCTCGAGAGCAGAGAGACTCAGAGACTCTGACATCTCTAGTGCACGGACGCAAGACCAGACAGACCAGGCTCTCTGCCATCCTAGCTATGTGCCCCTGGACAGGTCACCCAGCCTCCCTGAGCCTCACCCATTAAATGGATTACAACATCTCCCCCTACAGCTGTTTTGAGGAGCAAATGAGACACCACGGGAAACACTCTTAAACAGGGCTTGGCCCAAAGAAGGCCACACTGCACCGCACAAAGGGGAGGCTCACGCCTGCCTCTGCTGCTCACTCGCCCAGTTTCATTCTGGAGGTCCCTTCCACTCTGGCTGCCCGTGCCCCCGGCTGGAAGACGGAGAGGGGGATGGCACCTACTTCAGGGACAGTGTGAAGGCCAGGACCAACTCTGAACACTTAGCTCAGTCCCCGCAGGAGGCAGGAGCCTGTGAGCACGGGCCGTCATGACAGCTCCTACTGTCACTTGGGTGGAGCAACACATGCAGGCCGAGACCTGAGTGGGGCAGGGACCCCTGGCTGCACCAGCCCAGCCCTACCGTCTGCTGCTGCTCGGTCCAGTTCACCTCGAAGCCATCAAACGCGTGGCTCTGCCAGTTCTTGTTCAGCTCGCGGATGACCATGGCCTCCACCCTCTGAAGAAAGGCTGCGAGCCGGGGGGTGTCCTGCTGGGACAGAGACTGCCCATCCAGCAGCTCGGGGGGCTCTGTCTGCACCTGCGCGTCTGCGTGACTCCGGGCCTGGGCGGATGTGTCGGTGGTGGCTATGCTGGCCGTCTGGCAACTTTTCTGGGGGAGCAAAGCCAGCATCACCCCCTGCCAGTGCAGCCTCCCCCTTGGTCCTCAGGCTCACAGGCCTGCTGTCATCACATCTGCCCAGAGCGTCCGTCCTCAGCAACCAGCCCACCTGTCCCAGGAGGAACCCACCCTGAGAGACTGGCATGAGAGGCGGCCCTCAGCCCTCCCGTGTCCTCCCGCTGCCCGTCAGAGCACCACATCTCTCCCCCAACCTCAGTGGCCAGCTCGGGGTGGCTGCATGCCCCACACAGGCCTGGGAGTCAGCCCCAGGACTCGGTGTACCTGCTCAGAGGGGACACAGGGCCGCCGCTTCAGAGGCAACTGAGGCGGTCAGACTAGAGCCAGCATGGCCGTCTTGGCAAACACAAGGCCAGACCACCGCAGAACACCTGAGCCCGCCCTGCTCTGGTCCGCCCAGCCTGCATGAGCCAGGCAGCACACTGAGCTGGCCAGTGGGAGGCAAGCACCACCACCCAGAAGCTCTGCTCTCCGCCCTGCAGGGTGCCTTCAAGTCCTTGTCCCCTGTTCAAGTGAGCACAGACACAAACATCAAAAGAACAGGGCAGGAGGCTGGGCACGGTGGCTCATGCCTGTAATCCCAGCACTTTGGGAAGCTGAGGCAGGAGGACTGCTTGAGCCTACGAGTTGGAGAACAGCCAGGGCAACACAGCAAAACCCCCATCTCTACAAGAAATAAAGAAAAACAAGCTGGGCATGGTGGCATGTGTATAGTCCCAGCTACTCGGGAGGCTGAGGTGGGAGGATTGCCTGAGCCCAGAAGGTTGAGAATATAGTAAGTTATGACTGCATCATTGCGCTCAAGCCTGGGTGACAGAATGAGACACTGACTCCAAAGTAACAAATAAATAAATAAATAAAAGAACAGGAACAGGGAAGGGAAGGAGAGGCCAGCATCTCCTTTCTTACAGACATGTCCAGTCTGCCAACGGAGGCTTTCTGGGTGGGAGCAAAACAAGACTACTGTTGTCTAGGAGAGACTTGCCAATCTCTCCCAGGAGGGGCGCAGGGCAGGCTGGCTGTGGGGAACCCGGAGGAAGGAGGGGGCTGGCCCCTCCCAGCGATGTTCTCTTCCAGACGAGGGGTGCTCAACACTCGACCCAGCCTCATCTTCACGGGCTTCTCTCCTTGCTTGTTTGTCTCCTGGTAAACTGAAAGTGTCCAGTGTGAGGCCCTGCCTGATCTTTGTAGCCCCAGCACTTTGCATGGCATTTGACACATAGTTGATGTTATTTTACAGAGAAAAAAAATTACTTGTTGAGCCAGGGACGGTGCCTCATACCTGTAATTCCAGCACTTTGGGAGACTGAGGCAGGAGGATTGGTCACTTGATCAAGCCCAGGAATTCCACACCAGTCTGGCAACATAGCGAGACCTTGTCTCTTCAAAAAAAATTTTAAAACATAGCCAGGAATGGTGGCACAAGCCTGCAGTCCCAGCTACTTCGGAGGCTGAGGCAGAAGAACTGCCTGAGCCCAGGAGGTCAAGGCTGTGGTGAGCCGTGATCATGCCACTGCACTCTGGCCTGGGCAACAGAATGAGACCCCAACTCAAAAAAAAAAAAATTACTTATTAAGCATCTACTTGCCAGGCACTGTTTGGGTACTAAGATATGGCAGAAAAGGAGGCTGGGCCCAACGGTTCACATCTATAATCCCAACACTTTGGGAGGCCGAGGCAGGAGGACCACTTGAGCCCAGGAATTCAAGAGCAGCCTAGGAAACATAGTGAGGCCCCCCCAAATACAAGAAAATGCACAAGATGCCTGTGCCCAGATGTTCGCATTGTCTGGGGAGGGGGCAACAAAAAGGACGAAACCCACCAGATGCACAAGGTGCCACATGAGCCCACACAGAGGGATAAGGGGAAGGGCAGGAAGGCGCCTAGGCTTCCCGAGGGAGGTCACAAGGCTCTGGAAAGCTTCCGGTCACAGGAGACCACTGGGAGGGCATGCACACTGAGGAACGAATGAATGGCGGGGGCTCCAAAACAGACAACACTGGGCCAAAATGCTAAGAGGCTGTGGGTGCATCTCAGACTCTGGAAGCCACAGTGACGACAGCGGGGCCGGTTACTGAGTGCTAACACCAGGCTGGCTAACGTCAGCCCTGAGGCACAGGGAAGTTAAACAGCTCACTCAAGGTCATACAGCAAAAGCAATGAACTAGAGCCCAGGCAGCCAAACTCTGGACAGGAAACTATCTCCGGGGCAGGGTGTTCTCTAAACACCCAAAATCCTGGCCACGACAAACGCCTCATTGGCCGGGTTCAGTGGCTCAGTCGCTAATCCCAGCACTTTGGGAGGTCGAGGTGAGTGAATTGCCTGAACCTGTGGGTTTAAGACCAGCCCGGGCAACTTGGTGAGACCTCATCTCTACAATAAGTCAAAAAATTAGCCAGGCATGGTAGTGTGTGCCTGTAGTTCTGGCTACTTAGAAGGCTGAGGC